CTCTCTCTCTCTCTCTCTCTCTCTCTCTCTCTCTCACACACACGTTTACTGGATTGCTACTCTATGCTTATTTTCCCCTCTTTCTCCGCCTCTTTCATTCTATTCCTCCTGTCTCCTATTCACACCCGCTCTCTGTTCCTCTTCCCTCCTCCTTTTCCATCGCGTTTTGTCTTAGATTCCGCTCTGTATTTCTCTATTTCTGTAATCTTTTCCGCCTGTTCCATTGTTCTTTCTTTAGTTCTGTCTTATTTTCTTCCATTATTTCCACCCCTCTCGTTCTCTTTCTCCTACGTCTCTCTATATCCATTCTTCGTTCGCTCTTTCCTTCCCTTTGTCATCCTCAAGTTTTAACCTATTTCCATTTTCAACGAAACCGTTTGACTCTCCTCCCCCCCCCCCAACCAGGCCCCTCTCCTACGATGTCCCTCCCCCCCCCCCTCTCACATACGCCCCCATCCAGATCTCCGACCCCCCCCCCCTCCCTTCTGATACCTCTACGACCCCCTACCCTTTAGACCAGCTCTCCTCCACCCCCTAACCTTGTTCAACCCTTTACATAGCCCGTGCTACTTGCCCCGCTCCTGTGCCAGGTAAGCTACGGGCTCACCATAGCCCGTGCTACTTGCAACTTGTTTCGAGAGTAGCTGAATCTATAACAACAACAACAACCCTAAGCACATCGTTCCCCCATTTCCAGCCACCCATTTCTGAACCTCATCTGTCTCCCCCCCCCCCTCTCCCCCTTTCTCCCCCCCCACTGACCCCCTCCCTTCCCCCCCCCCCACACACCCCCTCTCCCCCCCCTCCCCCCCCCCACACTCACCCCCTCTGCCTCCCTCCCCCCCCCCCCCATCACGAACGTGGAGAGATCCAACGATTTGTATCACAGGGTTGGAGTCAGTGTTGCCAACCGTCCGACAGGTTTGCTGGATGCTCTCCGCGTCAGTGTTGTCAGCGACAGTTGACGGGTGGTGGGTGAGGGTTTGTTTTTACTTGTGGGGGGGGGGAGGGTGGATGGGGCTTCATCCATGTCATTGTTTTGTTTGTTTGTCACCTTTATTAGTTTTTGCGTTCTGTTGCAAGGTCGGGTATTTGTTCGGTGTTTAATGATTGCAAACTCGTCTAAATGAGCATATGGAACATGTAAGAGTCTCAGAAGAACTGTAAAGTCGTACAGGATAACATGTTCAGTAAGGAACAAGGAAGAACACGGGAACATTGATTGGAAAATCCCAGATAATAAATGAGAACGTATGAGAATGACGATGATAAATAGTAATTTTCCGCGCTGGGTAACGAGCAACTGGAATGAACTAGAGAGGTTATCTTGAGGTTATCTTGAGGGTTATCTTGAGGTTATCTTGAGGTTATCTTGGGGTTATCTTGAGGGTTATCTTGAGGTTATCTTGAGGTTATCTTGAGGTTATCTTGAGGGTTATCTTGAGGGTTATCTTGAGGTTATCTTGAGGGTTGAGGTTATCTTGATCTTGAGGTTATCTTGAGGGTTATCTTGAGGTTATCTTGGGGTTATCTTGATTATCTGAGGTTATTGAGGTTATCTTGAGGTTATCTTGAGGTTATCTTGGGGTTATCTTGAGGTTATCTTGGGGTTATCTTGAGGTTATCTTGAGGTTATCTTGAGGTTATCTTGAGGGTTATCTTGAAGTTATCTTGAGGGTTATCTTGAGGTTATCTTGAGGTTATCTTGAGGGTTATCTTGAGAAGATTTCGGGGCTTAGCGTCCCCGCGGCCCGGTCCTTGACCTGGCCTCCTCCTTTTTTGTTATACATCCCCCAGGAAGCAGCCCATAGCAGCTGTCTAATTCCCAGGTACCTATTTACTGCTAGGTGAACAGGAGCATCAGGAATGAAAGAAACTCTGCCCATTTGTTTCGGTAGGCACAAGTTGCTTCCTTAAATACGTTCAATAATAGACACCACAAACAGCAGATAATCGTCAGCTTATAAAAGAGGGACTCGGGAGCTAGAGCTCGACAATCCTTCTTCTTGAGGTTATCTTGAGATGATTTCGGGGCTTTAGTGTCCCCGCGGCCCGGTCCTTGACCAGGCCTCCACCCCCAGGAAGCAGCCCGTGACAGCTGACTAACACCCAGGTACCTATTTTACTGCTAGGTAACAGGGGCATAGGGTGAAAGAAACTCTGCCCATTGTTTCTCGCCGGCGCCTGGGATCGAACCCAGGACCACAGGATCACAAGTCCAGCGTGCTGTCCGCTCGGCCGACCGGCTCCCTGAACCCATTTTCCCATTGGATCCTAACCCATTTTCACAAGTCTTGTTTAGCAAGTACACCGCATCTTTCCTGACTGCCAGGGAGCCTTCGACACTGGCTTGATAAAGCAGAAGAAAATCTAACTAGGAATGTGAAGAACAGAATTAGAGAATACCTACCCGATTGGAAACACGTATTGATAGATCAGGCTGGAATAAGTAATAGAGAATTCTGCAGTTAACAGCTCTAGAACCCATTCAAAGTCTTATATGGTCATTATGAAGTCCTTTTCCAGTTTAACATATAAATAACTTCTGTTTCATAGGATATAAAGGGAATGGTGTGAAATGAGAAGGAAATTATCAAGGGAAAAGCACCAAATCATTACGACTGTATAGCACTTGGAAGGGGTCAGGATAAGGATCTTAGGATGGGACGGGGGGGAAGGAATGGTGCCCAACCACTTGTTGGACGGTCGGGGATTGAACGCCGACCTACATGCAGCGAGACCGTCGTTCTATCGTCCACCCCAAGTGGTGCGAGGACTGTGAAATGAGAAACAAAGCAGATTTGTCAACCAAGATGAAACCACCATTCCGTCTTGCTTGTTAGGAAGTCATTGGACGAGGGTTTCCCAGATGGACTGGAAGATGTAGACCAATCCACTAGCTACCTCACTCAACCATCAATCAATACAAATATATTGTTGATTATGCTTTTGCTAATTATCGATGTAAAATAATATAGGTTAATTATTCTGAAGACAAATCCATGTATGGGTTTAATTGTTATAGTGGAAATTAGCGGTGCCAGGTGACACAGGATAGGTCTGGCCCAACCAACCATTCCAAGTGGTTGGTTGGGCCCTTAAGGGTGGAACGACGGTCTCTCGTTTCTTGCAGGTCGGCGTTCAATCCCCGACCGTCCAAGTAGTTTGGGCACCCCCCCCCCTCCCCCCTCCGTCTTATCCATAATCCTTATCCTTATGTTTCTTCCGAGTGCCAAATAATCGTTTTGACTTGGTGATTTCTTCTGTTAATTACCTTACCTTGCGTCATTAAGGGCGTACATGACGTATATAAATATAGCATTAAACGCCTCAAGAACTGCCTATATTGATCAGTGGTTGCTAACCTCATCCTAATTACACTATAGTGTACCATTGTCACCATCCTAATTACACTATAGTTCACCATTGTCACTATCCTAAATACACTATAGTTCACCATTGTCACCATCCTAAATACACTATAGGTCGTTATAATCACCATCCTGAATGTACCGTAAGTCCCCCCCCCTCTTGTATAAATCACCATTACCACAATCCTCAAGAAAATGTCACTATACTCACTATAAATATACTATAGAGACTAATATGGTGCAGAGAAGTTAGTTTACCGGAATTAGGTTATACTCTGGGCTCTGTCATTCACTGGTTGTGGGGGGGGGGATTCATCATTCATACCATACTCTGTGAGAGACTCATCACTGGTACTGATACCCATCACTGTCACCACCACTACCACTATTACAAACCACCACCACCACAACCCATTTTCACTGCTCTGTCACCACAACCACCACCCCACCTACCCCTTACAACAGACCCATCTCTACCACAACTCACAACCACCATCGCCACCTGCCACAACTAGCATCCTCACTAAGTACAACAAGAACCCCTACCACCACTACCACCACCACCACCACCCCCCTCTATCCTCTCCTGGCCACCATACCCTGGGGTCGTTATCCCATGACCACCCCCATAGTCTACCATTATCCTAACTACCCAAACTACCTGCCTTAAATTAAAAGCTGTGTCTTTGGGGTGTGTCATTCCAGGGGATGGAATGACAATCCTCACTCATCAGAAACAATCAAATTGCAGGTTGCAGGTCGACATTTAGCAGTCGTCTCTGCCTTGTCTTGGAGGAGCTGGCAACACTGACAGCACCCCTGGGTGATGGGGGGAGGGGGTGATGGGGGGAGGGGGTGATGGGGGGGAGGGGGTGATGGGGGGGTGATGGGGAATGGGGGGGGGGGAAGATGGGGTTATCAGATAGATATGTGGGTTTGTTTAGCTTTTTTTTCTATCTATTATTTTACTTTAATTCAGGTAAAGGTCTTTTTTGTTTTTTAATGTTCTGGTGTTAATTAGTATACACACTGTCTGTCTGTCTGTCTGTCTGTCTGTCTGTCTGTCTGTCTGTCTGTCTGTCTGTCTGTCTGTCTGTCTGTCTCTCTCTCTCTCTCTCTCTCTAACCACATATTTGGTAAACCCCAATTTCCAGAACCTATCGGCTAACCTGTGTCATTGCAATGGTCACTATCTTGCAGCGTGGCTATACAACATCTTACCCCTCCCCCCAAACCCGTAAGAGCGAGAATGCCCATTCTCGAACCCCGCAAAATCGCCCTTATGTCTACAGCTCCAGGAGGGAGGAGGCAGGGGGGGGGGGTCGCAAAACCCCTCTCCCCCCCCCTTCCCCCCCTCCCTCCCCCTGCACCTGGGGGCAAGAACATCTCTTCCCACAATTACTATCATTTTGTCCACGGGGTTTTCTCCTTGTGTCATTTGATAATTCCGAGGGGTGGCTGTAGACAGGGCTATCCCACGGCTGTCCCGGAGAGCCGGTAATCCCAGCCTCGGTCAACGCCTCCTTCGACCGTGGTGACGCCTGCGCTTCGCGCCCCTCACGCCCTCTGTGGTTAGATAATCGACCGTGGGTAAGTTGTATTAAGTGGGTTCTTCAGTGGGTGGGTTCTTCAGTGGGTGGGTTCTACAGTGGGTGGTTCTCCAGTGGGTGGTTCTCCAGTGGGTAGTTCTTCAGTGGGTGGTTCTCCAGTGGGTGGTTCTTCAGTGGGTGGTTCTCCAGTGGGTGGTTCTCCAGTGGGTGGTTCTTCAGTGGGTGGTTCTTCAGTGGGTGGTTCTACAGTGGGTGGTTCTTCAGTGGGTGGTTCTTCAGTGGGGTTCTACAGTGGGTGGTTCTTCAGTAGGGGGTTCTCCAGTGGGTGGTTCTTCAGTGGGTGGTTCTTCAGTGAATGGGTTCTTCAGTGGGTGGTTCTCCAGTGGGTGGTTCTTCAGTGGGGTTCTACAGTGGGTGGTTCTTCAGTGGGGGGTTCTCCCGTGGGTGGTTCTTCAGTGGATGGTTCTTCAGTGAGTGGGTTCTTCAGTGGGTGGTTCTTCAGTGGGTGGTTCTTCAGTGAGTGGGTTCTTCAGTGGGTGGTTCTCCAGTGGGTGGTTCTTCAGTGGGTGGTTCTTCAGTGGGTGGTTCTTCAGTGGGTGGTTCTACAGTGGGGGTTCTTCAGTGGGGGTTCTTCAGTGGGTGGTTCTACAGTGGGTGGTTCTACAGTGGGTGGTTCTTCAGTGGGTGAAATGTTCAGTGGGTGGTTCTCCAGTGGGTGGTTCTTCAGTGGGGGTTCTTCAGTGGGTGGTTCTTCAGTGGGTAGTTCTACAGTGGGGGGTTCTTCAGTGGGGGGTTCTTCAGTGGGGGGTTCTTCAGTGGGTGGTTCTTCAGTGGGGGGTTCTCCAGTGGGTGGTTCTTCAGTGGGTGGTTCTCCAGTGGGTGGTTCCACAGTGGGGGGTTCTCCAGTGGGTGGTTCTCTAGTGGGTGGTTCTACAGTGGGTGGTTCTTCAGTGGGTGGTTCTCCAGTGGGTGGTTCTTCAGTGGGTGGTTCTTCAGTGGGGTTCTACAGTGGGTGGTTCTTCAGTGGGGGGTTCTCCAGTGGGTGGTTCTTCAGTGGGTGGTTCTTCAGTGAGTGGGTTCTTCAGTGGGTGGTTCTCCAGTGGGTGGTTCTTCAGTGGGTGGTTCTTCAGTGGGTGGTTCTTCAGTGGGTGAAATGTTCAGTGGGTGGTTCTCCAGTGGGTGGTTCTTCAGTGGGGGTTCTTCAGTGGGTGGTTCTTCAGTGGGTGGTTCTTCAGTGGGTGGTTCTTCAGTGGGGGTTCTTCAGTGGGTGGTTCTTCAGTGGGTGGTTCTTCAGTGGGTGGTTCTTCAGTGGGTGGTTCTTCAGTGGGTGAAATGTTCAGTGGGTGGTTCTCCAGTGGGTGGTTCTTCAGTGGGGGTTCTCCAGTGGGTGGTTCTTCAGTGGGGGGTTCTCCAGTGGGTGGTTCTTCAGTGGGTGGTTCTTCAGTGAGTGGGTTCTTCAGTGGGTGGTTCTACAGTGGGGGGTTCTTCAGTGGGGGTTCTTCAGTGGGTGGTTCTACAGTGGGTGGTTCTTCAGTGGGTGAAATGTTCAGTGGGTGGTTCTCCAGTGGGTGGTTCTTCAGTGGGGGTTCTTCAGTGGGTGGTTCTTCAGTGGGTGGTTCTTCAGTGGGTGGTTCTTCAGTGGGTGGTTCTTCAGTGGGTGGTTCTCCAGTGGGTGGTTCTACAGTGGGGGGTTCTCCAGTGGGTGGTTCTTCAGTGGGTGGTTCTCCAGTGGGTGGTTCTCCAGTGGGTGGTTCTACAGTGGGGGGTTCTCCAGTGGGTGGTTCTTCAGTGGGTGGTTCTCCAGTGGGTGGTTCTACAGTGGGGGGTTCTCCAGTGGGTGGTTCTTCAGTGGGTGGTTCTTCAGTGGGTGGTTCTTCAGTGGGTGGTTCTTCAGTGGGTGGTTCTTCAGTGGGTGGTTCTCTAGTGGTTGGTTCTTCAGTGGGTGGTTCTTCAGTGGGTGGTTCTCTAGTGGTTGGTTCTTCAGTGGGTGGTTCTTCAGTGGGACGAACGGTGAGGGCCCATCCCAGATAGACAACAACAGCGCCTGTTCAACGGTACATGGCTGCAACAGAACTGGATAGTTACAGTGGGAGCAGCCACTTATATCAAGTGGGATAACAGAGAGTGGTCACTGTTTAACGAGTGGGATAACAGGGAGTAGGACACTGTTTAACGAGTGGGATCAGTCACTGTTAAAACGAGTGGGTCAACAGTTACCATGTTAAGGGTTAAAAAGTAATATGTCATTCACCGTTATGTCTCCCGTTAACAACAGTGACCTGGACAGTGAACTGTGATATCTCCCCCCCCCCCCCCCCAAACCACCACTTTCCAATTAAGTAGTTCACACAGTCTTAAACAGTCAGGTCACCTCACACATTTTTTAAAAGAAATCACCCATTAGTTGCAAAATGCGACAGAATTGTTATTAAAAAAAATTAATCAAGCTTCCCCCTCCATGTATACCCGTTTTCTTTACCTTCGACGCGATAGGCTATAGGCGTGTTAATGCGTGCAGATTTGTACGCTTCGGCTTAGGGCAAATCAGTTGCTTTTTTTGACGGAGTGGCGGGTCGAGAGAACAGACTGGGTTGAGGGGTGAAGAGGGGAAGGAAGAAATGAAGATAGAGGAGGAAAGAAGGATAGAGTTAGGGAATGGATAGAAAATGGAATGGGAGGAGGAAGAATCAGATTGGAATGGAAAGGGGGTTAAAAGCCAGGCGGAAAAGGATGGAGGGAAAGATCGAAGGTCAAGATATGTCATGCCTATATGAGTAGGTCATGTCTGTCAGTGTCACGGATGGAATGGGTGGTAGGTGAGTCGATGTGATGGAACAGGTGGAAGGGATAGGTGAGTGAGTAGGGAGGGAGGGAGGGGGGGGGGTTAAAATGACTATCTTAATCAAATTTCAATCGCTGTTCTGATTGGGAGGAGGGAGGGAGGTGAGAAGTAAGGAGGTCAGGTCAGCGAAGGACCTGACCTATAGGCCCTTAGAGCACTGGTTTATGACAGTTTGGGCGCCAACTACCAGTTACACGTTCAAAAAATTGTGCCCATCGTTAACTATGCGGTCGTCTCTCTCTCTCTCTCTCTCTCTCTCTCTCTCTCTCTCTCTCTCTCTCTCTCTCTCTCTCTCTCTCTCTCTCTCTCTCTCTCTCCTCGTATAGGGCAAGATTGAACTCAGGGTATTGTATTCCTGGCTTCATTTTGATGTTTACTACAACCCATTGCCACCCCATGGAGTGGATGCCTTCTCGTTACTAACCACCTGATGTATGTTGTTGATATCCACCTCGTTACTAACCACCAACTGTGTGTGTGTGTTGGTGTTGTCGCCTTCGTTACTAACCACTAACTGTGTGATGTTGTCCTTCGTTCCTTCCCAGCTCTTCTGGGTTAAGAGTTATGGCGAGCAAGAAGCTATAGTGAAAATGAGAGGAGGGAGAGAAGGAGAGGAGGAAGATAGAGAGAGGAGGAGAGGGGGACCTAAATGTTAGTGGGAGCGAGTGAGAGAGATGGGGGTAAGTAGGCGGATGTGAGAAAGAGGGTGGGAGAGAGAGAGAGAGAGAGAGAGAGAGAGAGAGAGAGAGAGAGAGAGAGAGAGAGAGAGAGAGAGAGAGAGAGAGAGAGAGGGTGCTAATGTATGCATGTGTCTCTTCATGTTTTAAGCTAAGGAACTATTTAAGTTCAACCAAATGACCCACAAGCACATTTATGATCTTTTAATTATATGAGCTTAGTTACCAGATGGTCGTTCACCCTCTTGCCCCCCCTCCCCCCCCATCACCCCTCCCTCTCACCTCCCTCTCACTTCCTCCCTCACCTTCTCACTCCTCATCTCCCCCAGGTAAAATCAGGTATCATAAGATGATTGTTTTTTTCCTTTGTCAGTAAGCAATATTATATATATATATATATATATATATGTCGTACCTAGTAGCCAGAACTCACTTCTCAGCCTACTATTCAAGGCCCGATTTGCCTAATAAGCCAAGTTTTCCTGAATTAATATATTTACTATAGTTTTTTTCTTATGAAATGATAAAGCAACCCTTTTCTCTATGTATGAGGTCAATTTTTTTTTATAGGAGTTAAAATTAACGTAGATATATGACCGAACCTAACCAACCCTACCTAACCTAACCTAACCTATATTTATAGGTAAGGTTAGGTTAGGTAGCCAAAAAAAGCTAGGTTAGGTTAGGTTAGGTAGGTTAGGTAGACGAAAAAACATTAATTCATGAAAACTTGGCTTATTAGGCAAATCGGGCCTTGAATAGTAGGCTGAGAAGTGCGTTCTGGCTATTAGGTACGACATATATATATATACATATATATATATATATATATATATATATATATATATATATATATATATATATATATATATATATATATATAATATTGGTATTACATATTCTAATTTCATGTTCAGTTGAGCCTAGGTTAGGTTAAGTGTATTAGTGGCTTATTAAATAGACAAACTCTGAAACAACTAATTAAACACCCACTGTATCATGTCCTCCTAATTATATAATCAAAGTATTATTATTATTATTATTATTATTATTATTATTATTATTATTATTATTATGTGTCTGGCTTACTTGGACAGAACTTTCTTAAGTTAATTGGGTGTGCCAATCTGGGGTTCGACCCCAAAGACCCCAGAAAAAATTAATTAAAAATTTTAGACCATTAAAAATTGTCTTAAATTTTACCGCTACGTTGTAATCAAAATAGGAATGTTAAAAAATATCAATCAATATCATTATATGTTGAAATTGTGTTCATAGTTAGATAATGGTTAGGCGTTTATAGCTTCTTTCGGCAATTATTTGTATTTGCAGTATGTGGGTGAAGCATTTATACCGAGTGGCGATTCGAACAGAGTTCGACGTCCGAAGCCCTGGTCGAGGAAATGTTCGATCAGTGATATGATCGTTCGAGTGTTGTATGTTCGAATCGTATGTAAAGTGATTTTCATTCTTTAGCAGGGGTTTGGCAGCCACATTAACGGGCATTTGGCCAGTGTTTAGATGTGCTATTAACGAGCTACCTAAAAAGGCCAATTAACTAAGGTTATTGTATGTTTCGGATCAGGCAACGTGGCTTTGGAGAAGCTGTTGAACCATCTGTTGAACGTGTACCTCATCAAGCCATCCATATACACATCAAATCACTCACCTAAGCCACCAAACCACTCAGTTAAGCCACCCAACTACCCACTTAAGCCACCCAACTACCCATTTAAGCCACCTAACTACACGAGTCACAAGTGACCTCAGACCACACAAAACAGGCCGCCGGGTCAGGTATAATAGCCAGCATTTAACAGGTACTTGTGAGAGCGAGTGATGAACGGGCTGAGGGCCGCTTAAGTAAGGTCGGGTCAACCATCGTTCCCCCCTCTAACGACTGCTCCGCCTTGTTCCGCTTGACCTTCGTCTGCGCTGACCTGGCCGGGTGGTGGCTGTAGATTGACCTCTGTGACCGGGCTGACTTTCATTTGTTTTCTCTCACGTTGGAAAAACAAAATTGTCGGGGTTCCCAAACTTACACACGGAAATAACATCACATGAGACCAGGAGGCATGGCAGGATGTGCAGAATACCCCCGTTGAAGAGCAGTGGTGTAATAGGTACTCTGAGAGAGAACTATCAACATCAGAGGCCCGAGACTGTTCAATATGCCTCCACTACACATAAGAGGCATAACTGGCCGACCCCTCACAGTGTTCAAGAGAGAACTATTAACATCAGAGGCCCGAGACTGTTGAACACGCTTCCACTACACATAAGGGGCATAACTGGCCGACCCCTCACAGTGTTCAAGAGAGAACTATCAACATCAGAGGCCCGAGACTGTTCAACACGCTTTCACTACACATAAGGGGCATAACTGGCCGACCCCTCACAGTGTTCAAGAGAGAACTATCAACATCAGAGGCCCGAGACTGTTCAACACGCCTCCACTACACATAAGGGGACATATATAACTAGCCGATCCCTCACAGTGTTCAAGAGAGAACTCGATGAACACATGCAAAGGATACCTGATCAACCAGGCTGTGATTCATACGTCAGGCTGCGAGCAGCCGCGTTCAACAGCCTGGTTGACCAGACTATCAGCCAGGAAGCATGGCCAGAGACCGGGCCGCGGGGATCTTGACCCCCAGAAGCACCGCAAGGCAAGGTAATGGTCAAAATGAATGAGGAATGTGCTTGAGATGAGAAATGTGTTAAGAGATAAAAGATGTGCTAAAGATGAGGACACATTAAAGCTGTTTAATCCTTAAATTATTATTTTCTTAATATTAACAAATAGCCAACATTTCTACCCTACTCGCAAGTGCATTAGAAAAGGGGTCACCGCTATATATAGCAAAATACGAAGCGCTATTTATATTAATTGCTCTCTGAGGTTAATTGCTTCGTTATAAATGAACGGGATTAAGAGCTATGACGCAAGTCGGGGGCGGAACTCGTTGAGATGTGAGTGAGAGTGAGTGAGTGAGTGAGTGAGGTGAGTGAGTGAGTGAGTGAGTGAGTGAGTGAGTGAGTGAGTGAGGGAGGGAGAGGTGAGGACTTGACCTCACCCTGCTTAGCACCTGTGACCTCGTAAACTACTTGCTAATTACGCGCACAATAACCTGTCCTTCTGAGGCCGGATGCTGCGGCCGACCCTTCATCTCCCAGACTTATCTTTGGACATCCCAACCCTTCCTTATCAGGATTGAGAATATCAGTTCTCCCTATCAATCACCGCTACCCTTTCAATCTCTGTTTATTTCCTCGTATTATTTCAGTCTTCTGCTCACTACCCCCGCCCCCCCCCCATCTCTATAGGCCTATAACTTATCCCTATGAAATTAAATGTGCAGTAATTGCGTGTGCGTGTGTGTGTGTGTGTGTGTGTGTGTGTGTGTGTGTGTGTGTGTGTGTGTGTGTGTGTGTGTGTGTGTGTGTGCGTGTGTGTGTGTGTGTGTGTACTCACCTAGTTGTACTCACCTAGTTGTGCTTGCAGGGGTTTAGCTTTGGCTC